AAATGAAGATTTCGGAACAAAATGAGACGTGCTCTTGACCAACGTCGAAATCTACTGATTTCACAAGTGAATGCTTTTTTCTAGCTTACTATATTTCAATTAGTCTCGTTAAGTCTTTCTGTGGTATCCAGCACATATAGGTTCAACAAAGAATCGTTTAGTGTTTTATTTTTATGAATTCAATTACCATTTTAAAAATATGTAAAAGAAACAGGAACAATATGAATTAGTAGTTGCACTAGAGAAAAAAAACGATACTTCTGATTTCAACTATCGGCGATACGATAACGTTTGTGTAGTATAATATAACTCTGACTATGCAGTTCAGTACGTCTGAGCATGAGCATAATGTTGGCTAATGAGTTGCTTTCTGTTTGTGTACCTCTTTCGAGGCAGCATGACCACTTTCTTCAACTTTGTCTTTAGCTGCATCAACAGCAGCTCCGGCTCGGGTACCAATTGTGTTTGATGAATCCTTTGCCGTTTCTTTGTTAGCTTCGTGCGATGCGCCACTCGTCATTTCTTTAACTTTTTCACTAACAGTGCTGCAGGCATCCTTGATTGTTTGCATGTTTGATACGTTGAGATAGAGTTGAGTTGTTTCAGTGATACAGAATATAAAATGTTTGAAATGAATGAAATTTGTTGTTCTTCATCGCTCTTTATGTACTAATAAAAGAGAACACTCAATCACGTTTCTACTAGAAGGAATAGATAGATGTAGAGACAACGAGAACAATCATGCTTTTCTCTAGTCAATACACAAAAAAGAATGGTTAAACGTACTTTAAATACGTGGCAATTAGGAAAGGTGATAAGCCGATAAACCATAAAACGTGCAAATTTGTCGGTCTCTAATGACTAATGGTGACGTATAATGCAATCTAGAAATATTCTCTCACAGTAAGCTGTAGGCAGGTATGCACCGGCATCGGTATCTATATCGAAATACCAATACTGAAAATACCGACTGCTTTTACTCGCAGCTTTTTGGATTTTTTCATTGAAAATGCGATACTTTAGCGTTCTGGGCTCCCAGGAAAAATTAGGGGCAGAAAACAAGAGCTTTGTTTGCTTTCGGAAGGCAAAATTTTTCGTTTTTTTCTATCTGTATATACTCAAAATACACAGTTGAGTGCTTTTTATGCGTTCTGCTTGCGTAGGACACTAAAATATCTTATTTGAAATGATAAAATCCAAAAAAGGTCCGAGTAAAAAAACGTCGTATTTTCGGTATTCAGTAAAGCGAAACCGGTGTATACCTAGATGCACGTGCTCTGTCGCTTACTAATGACGTATACAAAGTACAATGAAGGACTAGAAACTATTTTTAAGTCGTAATTCGTAATTCATAATGACATGATTCTTCTATTTATCGCTTAGTCATCAAGGAGATCACTTGAAAACGAAATGTCGTATATCACTGTGTGATTTAAATATCTTTTGTCTATATTGCTCGTTAGAACAAGCAAGAAGCCACACTTAAAGGACGTTCATACAGAAAACGTGATCCTTTTTCATTTTTCAGAGGGAAGTTGCCTCGAAGAAGGTACAACTCGAACCCATTCTAGGATCGGGTCTGATTGGGGATCTGTTTTCTTAATTCGCGCAGGTCTCTATTTGGCACATTTACTTTATTTACTCGCATCAGCAAGTTTTATGGCTTATCGGCTTATCACCTTTCCTAGTTGCGACGTATTTAAAGTATAGTTGTCAAAAATCAAATACATTTAATCATTCTCTTTTGTGTATTGAATACAGAAAAGTATCGTTGTTCTCGTTGCCTCCACGTCTATCTATTCCTTCTAGTAGAAACATGATTCAATGCTTTCTTTTATTAGTATATAAAGAGAGATGAAGAAGAACAAATTTCATTCATTTCAAACATTTTATATTCTGTATCACTGAAACAACTCAACTCTATCTCAAAACAACAGTCAAGGATGCCTGCAGCACTGCTAGTGAAAAGTTAGAGTTAAAGAAATGACGAATGGCGCATCGCACGATGCTAACAACGAAACGGCAAAGGATTCATCAAATACAGTTGGTACCCGAGCCGGAGCTGCCGTTGATGCGACAATAAAGGACTCTTTGTTGAACCTATATGTGCTGGATACCACAGAGAGACTTAACGAGACTAATTGAAATATAGTAAGCTAGAAAAAAGCATTCACTTGTGAAATCAGTAGATTTCGACGTTGGTCAAGAGCACGTCTCATTTTGTTCCGAAATCTTCATTTTGTACTTCTGAGTGAGTTTGAAAAAAGTTTCAGATCGAATTCATTCCGATACTTGATTCCAGAGACACGATTTCTGGTAACTCTGATGAAACGTTTGTATCCTATAATCAGATATAGTCAAATATCAGTCTAAACAGGTAAATTGATCCTTCAGAGCGAGGAAACTATCTATCTGAATGTTGTACGATACAGCATCAAGTACTGAACAGCCAATTCTAAAAGTTTTTACAAGTTGAATATCGAGCAGAGAACATATGAAGAAAACGACCGATAGGTAATATCCGATTTAGGAATTTCGATAATTTGCATCTGACCGACATAGAGTTGTTGGTTGTTAGTATGGCAGCCATCATAACACGTATTCTCTCCATTTATATAAGTTTTCTTATTCCTAGCATTGTTAAGAATCTGGACGTGTAATATAGCCAATTATATCAAAAATCAAGTTAAAACTTCTAAATTGTTCTTTCACGACGATGGTGGGCAAACAAAAGCACAAGCAATAACATTTACATCTTGGTGCAACAATCAGCGAAATTATAATATATAGCTCAAATATCAGTGTGCTCTGTTCGTTGATACTGATGTACTGTGCAATTTAGCTACATTCTATTAAGCAGTCATCTTCGGTGAATGGTAAATTGTAGAGTATATATTCCATTGTCGTTAGCCGATTTCCAAAATGTTTCGCTATCACGGGATTAGAGGCATATGTCATAAGTCGTTTCAAATGACTTTGGTTTTTTATCGACTCTTTATTTAAATAGACATTGACAAAATGTAATGGGTAGTCGACTTCTTTCTCCATAAATTGTATTTCAACTGTTTTGTTCTTAACCATTGATGAAAACAAATCCGCTGTTGCACGTGGCCAAAATGTGTCATCATCCTTAGGAAATGCTTCACTCAATGTGCAAACCACCACTTGTGTTGGTAACTGGACAAATTTCTCTTGTAACTGATAGATACGATCATCCGATATTGATTCAGAAATGCCATTATCAACAAATACCACAAGAACAGTCGAAGGACTTGTGCGTAGAACGATACGTGCGCGATACCAACGCTTATCTTTTGAATAATGTGCAACACAAAAATCTCTAACAGATACATTCTTCAATGGTTGCAATGTTTGAACAGCTTTATCATAGTATTTATTCATTTCACTTGTCAACAAACGAAACTGTTGTTGGACATCTGATTCATTCTGTACAAAAAACGCTGACGGGTGATCAGCAGTGATTATTTTTGCGTTTTTCCATACAATTCCTGGTTTTATGACTTGCATTTTAATATAAACTTTAGCATTAGCGGTTCTGTCTACATTTTCCAGTTGTATTGAATTGTTTGCTGATTGAACAATAATACATTCTTTATCGATAATTAACTTTTTTGTTTGGATATTAATAATTTTTTTTTGAAATAAGCTTAAGTTTGTCTCAATATCGATAATCGTACGCTCGATGTGCTCCAAATCATGTTGTGACCTTTTGTCTTTAACGTTGAGTTTTCGGAGTTCATCGTTTAAACGATTAACGATTTGATTCTGTTCTGATTGATGTTGGAGAATTTCTTGTTCATATCCTTCAATAACTGCCTCTATTTCTTGACGTTTCGACGTGTAAACATTATCGATAAGTCGATGACTATCACATTGCCATTCATCTAGAATTTCTAATGATTGTTCAATAATTTGAATGGTAGACAATGTGTTTACTCTATCTGTTAATTCATTCAACTGATCAGTGAGTAAATGACTCTTATCCTTCACTAACGGAACATGTGCATCAGAGTGTAATTCACAGACATCTTTGGTACAATGAGAACAATAGGCAGATGCTTGATGTTTACATGAAGAGATTTCACATGATTTCGATGACATGTTTTGTACCTTCTTTATACCTGAAACAATATAAAGAAGTGAGTTGGTAATAAGAATCATTCCTACTGTAATCGATACCGGAAATATAAAGAAAAGATTAAATGATGAAGAAATATGTTGCTTGATGTTGTAAACGTAAGGTGAAAGAAGTAAATCACTTACATAGATGATCTCTCAATTCTCATAAAAATTTATTAAATACTTACTATTTATCAATCTTCTTTCGTTTTGAATGTATCTCAAGTTTTAAGCAATGGGTTATTGGAGATGATCAAATTTTCTTGTTCTTCTTGATTTGCGTACTTCTACGTGCTATCAATAAAATACTTTCGAAAGATTTACTGAAGAAGAAAAAAAAAATAAGCATTTTTTCAGTTAATCTTCCATGTAAAACCTGATATTTAATAAAAAAACATGACTACATCCGTGGCTACATCCGTTTTGTTAAATCCGTCTAATATTAAAGCAGGAAAAAGAACACTAACTTGAATTAATTATTGAGTTTGTAGGAAAAAACAAAGAGAAAATGACGATTGATCATCACATAGATGTAAAGAAAAATGTTTTTATTACTAATAATAGGTTTAAAATATAAGAAAAGATTAGATTAACATGTACGACGAGAAAACATTTTTTTCTTCTCTTTATCCGTTGATGATTAACAAATATAATGATTTAAAATCCACATTTCTTCTTCATTAGTCAATTGATAGATGTTGATGAAATAAATCGGACGATTAATTGCACCCTTGTTTGTCAGTTTTATCTCACTCAGACTAATTCAAATTTGAGCAATTATTTTTTACTTCATTCAAGATAGTACAGGTGAAATATGATTATATTGATGACTAATATCGAATATTTTAGTGAATATGTGTTGATTATACTTTACAAAATGTCATCTTGCTGGATATTTTAGTCTTTCTTTGGAACATTTTAAACGCTGTTTCCAATAATTTCTGCTTTGGTAGATACCTATTTAAGAATGAAATATTGCGCTGACTTAACCAAGAAACGGACTCCTGATTGCGTCAACTCTTTTTGAGACTTTCGCTGCTCATATAATTAACAGCCAAACATAAAAAAGAATCAGTTCTGTAGGCTTTAGAGGAAATAACTACTATTGGAAAATGATAATAGATGAAGCATCTGGACTTTCGAGAATATGCAGTGAACATTCTGGACAATAAGTATTTGTCATAAAAACTTGTTTTTCATCAGTTTATAGCGTCAAATCTTGTCAACATCTTGCCAAAAAATGCAGATCACCACTTTCCTTCTACCAAAATCTGACTGCTGTCTACTTGATCGTTATAATATGTTATAAGAGTGCTTTAGACTCTATTTATCACTTGAAATTAGATTGAAGAGGCATATCAATGAACTGACACAAAAGAATGTTGAGAAAATAGAGCAGTATTTCATTATCAGAATACTCTGAAATTCAAGTGCAATCCTTCGAAAGAAGAAGATATCCAATAGCAGCTCAAGATTTAATCATAGAACGAAAAATACATTAGAAAAAGAGTCTGAAATATTCTAAAAAAAGCTGTTAGAGCTGATAAATTTAATTTCTTATGGTGAAGTCTAATTTCACTCTGAAGAATTTTATCTGAATGTAGCGCTATATGCTCTACGATCTGGATACATTAAAATGTTTGAATTCGAAAGATTTTGTAGAACCTTCAACAATTCGAATTTAGAAGTTAGTCATTAAGAGGTCAAAACGGTTCTCAGATTTGAAGAATTGCCATAAACAGAAAAAACGAAATTAAAAAATATTTCGTTTATGGAGCTGCTGCCTCAACCAAATAATAATATCTCACTTTACAAAAGTCCAAATCATGCATGGACTCCAACCAAACAACAAACGAAAATAAATAATTGATTAAGAAACTTCAGAAGTCAAAGTCAACTTTTCGCAGGTATTCTATGGTATAAATGTTGATAGCCTAATGTGCGGTAGCCGATGTTAAACAAAAGGAAAATTTAAACGTTTGCACACTAGTCAAATACTGTTGAACGCGTTACTTTTTAACTTATATGAGACTGCGAATTAATTCTAATGCGTCCGTCGTTGAAGTCGTTAGATTGTAGTTTAAGTGAAGTATTTTATAACTTTAATTATAACGAGTATGAACGCACATATCACCGGAAAAAAGTTGGGTTTTAGTTTCTGAACAGTGCTTTTTCTGTCATGTCTTTTTCTCCTATTTAGAAAGTCCAAAAATAGAAATTTTTTACCAATCGATAGCGCACTTCATGCCGATTCTGAATATATGTTTGTTTCTCTGTCTAGTCGCTATGTTTGATTTTCGCGTATATTTGCGAATAATCCGATTTTCCGATGGGCACGTAAATCACTGAAAAATCAATTTTCATTTTTCCACCAAACGCCGGCCTGGATGCACACTGTGCTACAGTCAGTAATTGTGATCTCTTAAAAGATGAATGTATAGCTCATTAACTCTTTAAAAATGATCATATCATTGAATACATGTTTCCTGATAATATAACACATATTTTCACTTCTTTGTGTAGTGAGCAGAGGTGGGCGAAACGGTTTTATATTGCAAAATTTCTCAAGACAAGACAAAATGTACAAAGTTTAGGAAAACCTTTTAAACAAAATGGCGCAAAAATAAATATTAGTGCGAACATTTTTCCTAAACTTTTGAAAGTACCCTTCGTCAAAAACAGAAAATCTTCCCGGTAATCAGGTGTGCTAAATACGAAAAAGCATTTTTTCGCGACTCTAAATGAACTTTATTTTTCTGTTGGAAATATGGATAAGCGTTAAATAGAAAAATAAAGCTGGAATAATGATCAGACAATACAGCCGACCTCTGATGAGCAGACGAGCATCTCAAGTTTTTCTATTTCTTCTTATAGTCACATCGAGTGTCTGATAATTTTCTTTTCGACAACCGCGACTATTAGCCTCTATCAACTTCACGAGTGCGAACAGTGGTAATTATGGAAAAAAACTCTTCAACACTTACCTTGATCCCTTAGAAAGTACCAGCAACGCATTATTGTATACTAGTGACATCTAATGTGAATAATGAGTGAGTCGTGATAGTAATTGTCGATTTAGAATACTTTTCTAATCGATATTCGAAGTAGCTCATATAACATTCTAAAGGATAGCGTTGTGCATTAATACATCGCGTATCCACATTCTACCACTCACTGTCTAGTTGTTTAACCGAACAAGTGAGTCACAATTAGCCGTGCGAAACTCTCCTTGAGAAGAATTAGTGTTTATCTGTAAAAACTATTGATTTCCTGTAATAATTAGATGATCATTTCTTTTTTAGGAAATTTTTAAACATTGGTTAAGCAGCAGCATCTCTGAATACTTTGTTTTTTCATTTATGAGACTAATTTATCTAATTTGTATTCAGATTTAGGTTTTTATTTATTAGTTTATTACTCTAGTAATGTTGTTTAATTCATCACCACCACCATTATCATCGAAGACTATAAGCCATTGCTTTCCTTCTTCACCCATTCTTTCACTATGCTCACTTGTATACAACATTACTTTGTTGTGGTAATGTTTTTACGTGTTATTTATTTGTCGTGCAATTATGTCAGTTAATAATATAAATCAGAACAATAATCAAATTGAAATTGATCTTACTCAGTTGAGGGTATGAATTTACACTTTTCTCTCTTGTTGATTTCATTGTTATTCTATTCTGTTATTGCAGGATCCCGCTGGAATATTTGAATTAATTGAGGTTGTTGGAAATGGAACATACGGACAAGTTTACAAAGTAAGAAAGTGTTCGACGTTTAGGTTGTAATGGATTTGATACCGGCACTGCACTATTTTGATTAGTTTGCGGGGCTTTGTAAGGTAATTGTGTTCCCTGTTGTTTATTTTGTTTTATTTTCCGAAAAGACGACTCCACTGTAAAGAAATGATGCAGAAAAAAGATTTTTTTGTTTGAAGTAGGCAGCAACGAAGTTTTTGAATATTGTGGGCTGTTTCGAGTCAGCAACGGAAACAAAAAATGTAAACAACGTCAACCGTTTCATTATATCATCTGAGAGTACGGTTTCATCATGGTTCGTGAGTTTTGCAAACTTTGTTTGTGCTTTTTTGATAGATAATCAACTGATAAAACAGCTTATCTTTCTGTTATATTTTATATTTTTTGACTCATCTATTTCTTCTTCTTCTTACATTGCGTGCGGTAGTCACGCTATTTGATATTGATCAGAAGAATAACATAGTTCCATCAGACTCAATCCTGAGATATTGAAATAACATTTTGAGTCGTTTTTGTCTTCTAGGGTCGTCATACGAAAACCGGTCAGTTGGCTGCAATCAAAGTTATGGATGTTACAGAAGTATGTAGCAAGAACTTTTTATCTTTCTTCCTTTTTTCATTGTTCATTTACCGTTATAGGATGAAGAAGAAGAAATTAAACTGGAAGTGAATGTACTGAAAAAGGTAAGTATTTCTAAGGGAAAAAGTTTGACATTGGTATTAGGAGTAACTGTACACTTGTGAGAATATCGAGATGTGTTTGCTGCTATTCTTTTTTTACGTGAAAAATGTGTTTTATTATTTGAATATATATTTAAAAGGTAATACGTGACTAATATAAAAGAAAGGTCTAAAAGCTACTCAAACTACTTGCAAATACAACGATTATTATTCATTCAGATTAGTTTTTTTCACTATTAACACTGGTTTTAGTACAGTCTGTTTTATTTAACACATATGCATATGATTAGAAATAAAATTTAATTAGAATCAAGAGGATTGATTTCATATTCCACTAACTTATTTGCATATTTGTTTATACCAAAACAATCTTTGACTAGATCACTGAATGTTTGTTATTTTGAAATGTTCGTTGGTTTAGTAGTTTTTTTTTCTGCAAAAAATTATGTTCGAATTATACTGAGGTTAGATTTTCTTATTTTTATTATCCAGAGATGTGTTTCATTCAGCTACATTTGTTTCTTTACTCTAGTTTTCGAATCATCGGAATATTGCAATGTATTATGGTGCATTTATTAAAAAATCGATAATGGGACGAAATGAGAATGATCAGTTATGGGTAAGTAGTCTGGTTTTCTCCATTATAAGTCACAATGTATTATCTAACTGTTATATCTGTATTTATAGCTCGTTATGGAATTCTGTGGTGCCGGTAGTGTTACAGATTTGGTTAAATCATCAAAAACTAATTCATTAAAAGAAGATTGGATTGCTTATATTAGTAAAGAAATTCTAAACGGACTCTGGCATTTACATCAAAACAAAATTATACATCGAGATATCAAAGGACAAGTTAGATCTAACAAAGAACAGTATTGAATTGAGAATTGGAAATATCTTCCTTTTTTTTTCATAGAATGTACTATTAACAGAAAATGCTGAAGTGAAATTAGTTGATTTTGGTGTATCAGCACAATTAGATCGAACCATTGGAAGACGGAATACATTTATAGGCACACCTTATTGGTAAGAGTATCTCTCGTTCATTTCTGATTTTTATAATTTATTTAGTAGTGGATTTCATTGTTTTTTTGTTTATTTTCTCTCTTAGAGTGCATGAGTTTGATGCAGAAACTAACTTTTTGTTTTCTGATTACAACTGAAATTGTTTTTCGCGCGGTTTTTATCTTTTTTTTCAATATAGAAAATTGTTTGGATAAAGATAATCTGTTGGACGCTTCGAGATATGTTTTTTGTGACCTTGTAGCTTATTTTGTTTATTCTAGGATGGGACCTGAAGTCATAGCATGCGATGAAAATCCTGAAGCAACATATGACAATCGAGTATGTACAGTCATGTTGTTTATTACACGTATGAAATGTCTGTCTATTTATTGTTAGAGTGATATCTGGTCGTTAGGAATTACTGCGATTGAAATGGCTGAAGGACAACCACGTAAGTTTCGTTTAATTGCTTGTGCTGCTGTATCGAACAACGGTCACAAAAAAGCGGCTGTTCTTTCTCTAAAAACTTCGGATTCGTACTAAACTGTATCATTCCCCGAAGTTGCTGCTGTCATTAATTTTTCTTTTGCTTGTAGTATGTTTGCTCTTTTACGCTTAGTTTTTGTTGTTTCTAGCTTTATGTGATATGCATCCAATGCGTGCTCTATTTTTAATACCGCGAAATGTTGCTCCAAGATTAAAATCAAAATGGTAATTTTGCTTACTTTGTTTCTAGTTTGACATTTTTAGTAACCTGACATCATTTTAGGTCAAAAAAATTTCATAACTTTGTCGAGTTATGTTTAATCAAAGATTACACTCAACGTCCATTCACTGATATCCTGTTGAAACATCAATTTATTCGTGATGTGCAAAATAATCAAGAGCGAACAGTTAAATTACAAATTAAAGAATACATCGATAAAATTCGTAAAACAAGAGGCAATAACAATCGGCAACAACATCACCATCATGGTGCTAGCCAGATGCAGGCTCAAGCACCATTACCAATGCCTCCGCCACAAATTCAAGAAATACATCCGCATGCCCATCATCATCACCATCATAATGCTCAACAACAACAACAAGTCCCTTTGCCGCCATCATCGATTATACAACCGGTCACTTCACGACATAGAAAAGACGATTCATCGAGCGATGATGATCTAGGTAAGAATATACTGGAAAAGCTTGATAAACGCAACAAAATATTACATTTCTGCATAAAGTGTGTGTTCTGTACTTAATCTTAGCTTGTTCTTTTAACAGAATAAATTTGATTTCACCTATTTAGTCTCAATATATCTACTGTAACACAGACTTGTCTCTACATGTTCTCATTGTTCTTGCATTATTTTGTTTAGATGTAGATGAAGAAGATGAAATATTGGATCCAACCACGAAAGCCCCTCAAAATAATACGTTAAGACAAAATTTCAAGCAAGTTCAACAATCTCAACCGTCCAAACCTCTATTGTATACAAATGTTCCTCCTGCTCATAACAACAACAACAACAATCATCGACAGTCGCAACATATCACAAACGGGCAAAGCAATGGACAAGGAATGGTTGGTGTATCAGCAGCATCGCCTGTGATTCAATACCCACCACCTATTGGTAAGAGCTCACTGAGAAATCGAATACATGAAGATTTCAACAAAATTTTTGGACGTGCATCATACACTTAAAATTTTTGTCAACAAAGAAGATGTTTATATCATATTTTCTTTTCTCCGTTATTTAGGTATTACATCTCAGCAACAAAATCGTCATTCAATATCAGACATAAAACTTCAGTCTCAAGATAACAACAATCATCGTTACCAAAATTATTCCGGGGTTGTTGTTAATCCAATTTTATCTGAAGAAAATCGGTATGCATTTTTAGGCAAGTTTTTTAGTAATTTGCACACAACTGATTTCAATATCTTTTTTTAGACCACCTGTTGATATCAAACGGACGCCATTTCCTTTTAAACCTGGGCCAGCTATCGTTGTACCACGGAAACCGGAAGTAAGAGACAATTTTGTGTGAAAAGAAATAATCATTTCACGAAATGCAATAATTATAGAAAGTGTTATGCTTACGAACTTCAGACTTAGAAGTAATAACTTTCTTTTTTTTCTATTGTCGTGGATTTTTTTGTATGTGAATTCTGACGATAGTTAGGCGGAATATTAAACCAGTTCCTTTCGTTGTTATTTATTATGTTTTATTTATAATAATGAGCATTTTATCTTCATTGTTTTTGTAGGAATTGGTAGCTGTAGTTCAAAAATTGCATGAATTAGCACGTAATGATTCGGATGAAAGTGATCAAGATGGAGGTGACCTTGAAGATGATGATTTAGATGACTTAAGTGATCAAGAAGATAATTTGAAAGAGATAAATACAACAGATGAATTTGTACAAGTTTCTACAAATTCACGGCAACAAAGAGAATCAGAACAACAGCAAGCACCATCTGGACATGTTTTGCCTATGTTAGTAAAACTTCTCATCATTTTCGCTTATTAAGACAAACTACAGTATACAAGTGTTTAATTTTACCATTGACTGACATCAGTTAATATTGTTTAATAGTTCAACAAAGAAAACATTTCTTTTGAGAGAAAAATTTATCACTTTTCTGTGGCGTATGTCATATAGTATCAGATATAGGGAATTTTATTACTTGTAGGAATGTTTATCGTTCCCGTTTATCAGCAACTGGTGTTAATAATTCCTGGCCATCTTCATCAACTGAACAACATCATTCAAGTCAAGGTGCTGTAATTGCCAATCATCGACGTAAGGCATACCTTTTTCCTAACATTTAAAAAGACATTTTAATATGATATACTTCTAGTGAGTCAATTGTGTCAACAAGTCTTGGCTTCATCATCAACAAACGGAAATCAACATGATATGATGCCGGGAGGTGATGATACGCTAAGAGTTCGAAAGGTAAACAAAAAAATCTGTTTTATTCTTTCTCGTACGTACATAAAACTACACTATTCACATAAATTCATGAACTTTCTTTTTATTTTCTTCTTGAATGATTTTTATCGGTCTAGTTTAGTATCATGACATCTATATTTGTTTACTATGGAAATTTCTTTTTGTTTTCTAGAATAACAACAATCTGTCAAATGAACCCAGTAAGACTTTTTAGATTTTTTTTTGCTTAATATGTGTTTATTATACATATGTCTATTCAGATGAAAATCGTCGTAGTGCTGTTTTACCTGATTTATTACCAACTCCACCGGCAACAATGGTTCTTGATCAAACAGCATCAGAAGAAGTAGATGAAAATTTTTTGTTGTTTTACTCCTGAAATTAGTCAATTCTTTCGTTTTTCTTTTAGTATCGTTTAGCTGTTGGTAATTCTCCAAAATTACCATCACCCTCATCAGTTCCTACTATGGCTCAAATCTCTTCCTCTCAACAACCTCCTCATCGTGCATCGTCAATGATTGTCTCTTCAACAACTGCTACAAATCCCACTCATAATATCGCTTCAATGATCACATCATCAACATCAATTGATTCAAATCAATTTTTACCTAAAAGAGATTTTAACATTGTGAAAAGAGGATCACAAGTAAATCGATCATCTATCTTTATTTACAAATTTTGTATGACTTTTTCATTTTACTTTTTTTTATTTTATAGATTGATGTCAATGTTTCTCCTCAACCCACTAATTCAACTTTAACATTATCGGGCAATGGTTGTGATGCACCAGAAATTAGAAAATATAAAAAACGTTTTAATTCAGATATTTTATGTGCAGCTCTATGGGGTATGATTTTTTCTGTTTTTATTGACTTCTTTTATCTATTATTTATTTTTTAAGGTGTTAATTTATTAATTGGAACAGAAAATTCTCTTATGTTACTTGATCGTAGTGGACAAGGAAAAGGTACATTTTGTTCTCATTTCAATTAGATATGCACCAGTTAAAAACTGGTGTTGAGGCATCCAAAAAAATTAGTATACATCAGTTATCACGATATGCTCAGAGCTGTGAAACATCTCATTTTGTAGAGAAATGAGACGTTCCGCAGCTATGAGCAAATCTTGGTAGTCGATGCATAGCAATTTTCCTGGATGCTCCAACATTAATGAAAAACTGGTAAATACCTAGTTGTGAAAACAGTTTTTTTACTGTGATCTACTGCATTTTAGAATGCTCTAGCGAAGGAACATTCCCAGCTGTCCAACCCTGATTTCTTTCAAACATACATCAATCGATAGCCTATATTGAGATAGTAAAAAGCCTAAAAGAATTTATCCCCATGGGTCTTGAAGACCCGATTTTATGGAAAACCAGTTTTTCAGAAACTCTAGAAAAATAACCAAAACGTTTCTTAATAAGGCATGATTGTAGCCCGAAATTTCTGCATAAAATGAGACGTCTCCTAGCTCTACATGACTTTTCTTTGCAAAGTTATAGAATTAACAAGAAAAGTCGTAAATTGATTTCGTCTTATTTCTGTAGCTTTGACCTGACAATAAACATTTAGGGCATTTCTTGTTAATTCTGTAATTTTGCAAAGAAAGGTCATGTAGAGCTGGGAGACGTCTCATTTTATGCAGACATTTTCGGGCTACAATCATGCCTTATTAAGAAACGTTTTGGTTATTTTTTTAGAGTTTCTGGAAAACTGGTTTTCTAGGAAACCGAGTCTTCAAGACCCATGGGGATAAATCCTTTTAGGCTTTTTACTATCTCGATATAGGCTATCGATTGGTGTATGTTTGAAAGAAATCGGGGTTGGACAACTGGGAATGTTCCCTCGTAAGTTTTCTTAGAAATGATTTTGGAATTTTTTTAACAAAATGCATTTTGTAGAACAAACATTTTTGTACAAAATGAGATGTTTCACAGCTCTGACCGAATCGTAATAACTGATGTATAGCAATTCTCCTGGATGGTCCAACATCAGTTTTTAACTGGTGCATACCTAATTTCAATAGATCATGATTATTAAGATATGTACATTGTTTCCTTTTAGTCTATCAATTAATAAGTCGTCGTCGTTTTCAACAATTACAAGTATTAGAAAGTCAAAATATTTTGGTAACAATTAGTGGAAAACGAAATAAAATTCGAATTTATTATTTATCATGGTTAAAAAATAAAATTGTTAAAACAGAACCAAATGATCGTAAACCAGGCTTTACAAATGTTGGCGAATTAGAAGGTGCCGTACATTTCAAAATTGGTAAGCAAAAATGAATGTTCTATGATCATTTTAACTCTTCGAAAGAGTTCTGCTTTTTGATGCATCATTACTTTATCCATACGTTGCGATGGAATTAAATTAGATGTTGTTTTATATAGTTGGTCTAACAGGTGGGGTTTGTTTGTCTTATCATAAAGAAAGATCAAGTGTCATTCATTTATTCTAGAAAAACACAAATAATAATAACTTTGCCTATTTTACTTTCACTATAAAGTTAATCTGTGTATTATATTTTAAATAATGTTTAAAACAATAATAGTTACAGTATACAAGTAGAAATTTTAATTTTTTGACAGTCAAAATACTTGTCTTATTTAGTAGTACGATGATGTGATACATGTGTCTTGCTAATAATTTTGTAGAAGAAAACTATGACAGATATCTATCATCAAAAAGGATAAATCAACTGTTAGATTTGATACTATAAAGGAAACTGTACTTAAAATACAATAGAGAAAAAATAAAAGAAAACTCATATGTATGTCTGTTGATTAGTTAAGCATAAGTATGAATAGCATTATTACGTTTTTTCTTGTTATTTTATGTATTCAACGCGTTATCAATTTGATAAATCTTGATATTTTTTCTTTATATATCATCACTAGTATATGTGATGATGAACAGAACAAGCATATTCTAGAATAAAATCAATCGATCTTGACTTTCTATCTTTTACTGTCTCACTTTTGATTAGGATAAAAATATTCGAGTTTGTTCAGAGTAGTACATGAATGTAGTAGATAAGAGTTATGTTATTTCATTGAACAGACTGAAAACATATTCTGAACATATCTGATGTTGAGTAATAATGATCGATATCTAAAACAATCATTTTTCTCTTGTTGTTCTTGTGTATTTCATGATGTTGAATATTTTACGACATGCCATTGTTTCAATTATATGTCAAATGGTCTATACTAAGTTGTTTTTTGTAGAAAATTAGATCGATGTTAATAGTAGTACTACTAGTATGAAAATCCTCAAGACAGTTACATCAAACTTGTATTCAACTAAAAGTACAAATTGAGAAACGTCACATTCTTCATTGCTAAAATTAGGATCAGTTAGAAAACCGATGATTCAGTAGTCCCTTATAGAATAAAAACTTTCGCAGAAACTTAAATGGTTCTTACCAGAACTAGTTCTGATTTATCCATTGAAAATACTTGTGTGTGTGTGTGATTAGCTTAGACCGATTCGGAATAAACTTTTATATTTAATGGTTTATTTGTTTCTATTTTTAGTTAAATATGAACGTATTAAATTTCTAATTGTTGGTTTACGTGATAGTATTGAAGTGTATGCATGGGCACCAAAACCCTATCATAAATTTATGACATTTAAAGTAAGTCAATTATCCATAAATTGATGTATTCTGTACATTCTCATTTCTTCTTAGCTATTTCCCAATTTGCAATATCGTCCATTATTAGTTGATTTAACAATAGAAGAAGGCTCTCGTTTAAAAGTTATTTATGGATCATGTCATGGATTTCATGCAATTGATTTAGATTCAACTAATTTTATTGATATTTATATACCGTCAAATGTATGTATAAATGGTCTGTTTATGTACTACTCAATTTGGTCAGCTAACTATGCAGAATATATCCGTTTACTCCAACGTCTGTCGGGGAAAAACTCTTTGAACTGGGGAAATTTTCCATAAAAGTTTTAGTAAAAATAGAATTTTTGCTAGAAAGAAAACTACAGACACTAGCAGAAGATTTTTTAGAAATATCTCTGTCGAAAGAGGTTTTTCATTCTTACGGGTCGATTTTCCACTTCTGTAACGATATTTTCTCATTGGAAAAAGGTTGGCATGAAAGAATTCTGATAACGCTATCTGAATAAACAAATAAAGTTTCGTCATCATTTGCCTGAAAATAAAAATAAATAGATTCTATACGTCATAGTACAATAAAATAAGATAAGTAAAAAGGAAATATTTGCATTCAAAGTGATAAACGTCAAATTTTATATTCAAAGAAACTTTTCTCATTAAAAATTGCAAAAATAACGACATTTCATAGTTTTTTGCTCTTTTTGTACGATCTAAACATCCATTGACAAAACAAATACAAATTCTGAATGCTCAACCTTTCGGCTACAATAATTTTTTGAACCAGTTGTCTAAACGATGTCCTAAACGAGTTTCTCAGACCACCGAAAACAAATTTCATTTTGTATCATTCTATTCTAAAAGAAATTTGATCTCTATCTATGCGATTGTTTGTGAAATAACGAACTTTAAAGTTGTCAAAACATTTGGTCAAGTTGACTCATGCATACAGAACTTAGATAAGATGAAAAAGTCAACTCATTTACTTTAAGATTCATTTCATTTAAGTTCTTATATTCTAGACTAACATCTTATTTTGTTTTTCCATTTTAGTTTCATGACGCTGTTGAACCACATGCTATTGTTGTATTACCCAATACGAATGGAATGCAATTATTACTTTGCTATAACAGTACATTTATTTATTTTTATCTCTAAATAATTCTCTCTATTTCTATATATATTTTAGATGAAGGTGTTTATTGTGATACGTATGGTAAACGAACAAAAAATATTGTTTTACAATGGGGAGAATTGCCCACATCTGTTGGTAAATATAGAAAAAACTTGTCAGCGTTTCTTCTACGAAACAAAAATGTGAAAACTTCCTATTAAACTGTTGAACTATAACATAGAAGATGTATAAATAGAAGAAAGTTAAATAAGAATGATAGTGCGCGAGAGAAACTTCTATTTAATAGCTTTTTTTCTGATCATATGGAGAGATATGGTAATACTTTTTAACACCTGTGTCTAACAACATCAGATCAATAATACACTGGCTGTTACTAGTCCATTTAGTAGCTGTAAACACCAAATTTATATTGAAATTTGATCGATCACAATTTCACCCAAAAAGTTTACAGCTACTGACAACTCCCCTCCCCCACCCCTGGAAACCACAAAAATCCTCGTATATAAACTTTATACTTCAAACTTCCTTTTCCTTCGAAAAATGGACAAGTCCTAGGAAGTTTTCACAAAAGTATAATCTAAAACTATATTCTGACATTTCTTGTTTATTTTTTTAGCCTACATATCAAATGGTAAAATAATGGGTTGGGGTAATAAGGCAATTGAAATTAGAAATGTTGATACGGGAGCATTAGATGGAGTATTTATGCACAAACGAGCTCAAAAATTAAAGTATGTAACACATTTCACTAAAAATTTATAGTCTTAATGTATTGTCAAGGGCAGAAATACTTTTTGTTTTTGTCTGAAACGTCATCTAATCTAACTTTTCACTCTATTTTTATCCTTTTGTGCACCTTTTCTTATTATCTATTTTATCAACATAAACATCAAAAGAATGAAGTTTGTTTCAGACTAGTATTTTCAAAATCATTATCTTCATCATTAGTTACATCAGTATCATTTGGTTCGTTTTCTGGAAGTAAACAAATGTCATTTTTGGTGATTTCATTTAAAAATTCGCCGTAAATTTACGGCATATTTACACTTTTATTTACGCTTTTCCATTTTTCTTAAGAGTACCGCGTCTTTTTTTGAAAAAAAATTTAATTTTGATTTGAACATTGAGGAAAGTTTGGACTACAAAATGAGACTATTCCCAGCATTTCATAACCTTTTTGGAAAAAATTATGACTTTTTTCGTAAATTTTTCTTCCTTTTCTCCAGTACCTTGAAAACTTTTTCTTATCCATAGTCTGGTAGGCCAAAGTGTTCTCTTCAGAATGAGACGTCTTCAAAAATTCTCCGATAGTTCTTAGCGGAGATATAAGCATCGCCGCAAATGCCCCGAAGAACGTATCCTATATATTGTTACGTGTAGTGCTCGGATGACACTTAAATACGAGCGGTTCCAATCTAGTCACATAAATATCCCTCGGAAAAATGATCCGATTAAGCTTTAATTTTTACCACAGATACTTCAAACTCTATCTCAAATTAAAAATTTTTTTAAGCATTTTCGAGTTTAACTTTCGACGTAGGAAAGTTTTTAAAAATAAAAAGTAACCTTTTACATAGGATTTTCAATATTTTCCAAATATCTCAAGAAGAACAGCATATTTTTCGAAAAAGAAATTTAGAAGCTGAACTGAAGTCTGCTCGATCTGTGGTAAAAATTTGAGATCGGACCATTTTTTCGACGGGTCGTAACGTGACTGAATGGAAACTAGAGTTTTCTAGAAAATCCATAGAAGAACATGATACAAAATTCTCAGCCAAAACACATCCATTTTCTTTTTCGACGACCGATTTCTGATAAAATTTTGATGCTGATTGGACATTGGCTTCCACGTTTTCTAAGAAGGTCAAAGAAAAGAGGAGGGAGGGGGAGTTATCGTTAAACTAAAGCGAGTCGGACGGTTGTATATTCTGTCGTAAAACTGATTCAAAATCATGATTAATTTTTATTTTTCTTCTATTCTATTCTGTTCTATGAACAGATATCAGAACGTGTAACATGTGTAGATCATAGGCGATCAAAACTGCAATATGAGTGTGTTCCATGGACTTATATAAACCTCTATTGAAAGTTCTAAGTTAATCAGAAAAAATTGGAGTTAAAAGAATGAATTTGTCTCATTTTTCACAGCTGTTTAGTAGCACATTTTTTCTATTTAAAACTTTACTCTCACATTAGTATGTCATTTTTTTTATATTTCAGGTATTTATGTGAAAAAAATGATAAAGTATTTTTTTCATCAATTCGTACCGGCTCATCATGTCAGATTTATTTTATGGCTTTGAATAAAATGAGTTCATGGTAGACACATAATATGCGTGTCTTAAAATCTTTTTGTTTTGCATGCATTTTTGTTTTTGTTTTCCACATTATGTGCCTTTTTAATTACTAAATTTCTGACGTGCTGATCTTACATGCAATGCGTAGTGTTCGTTTTATTTTATTTTTTTCTCTTCACAAGTTTTGACTACTACGTTTGTGGCACACATATGTCTCCTCTTTCTTTTCGTTTTTGTGTCACATAGTCTTTGTTTGTTGTTGTTGTTGTTTTTTGTGTGAAAATGATATGAATAAACTACAGATATGTTTGCTACTACGTTGTTGTTTTCTGTCTCATTGTAAAAATCAAAATTTTTGTTTGTACTCTTTTTTTCATGCTACGCTACTGCTGCTGCTGCTTTAGATGTGTGATTTGTTTCTTTCTCTATTCTTATCAAAAATATTCTTATGTATGCGCTTAAAAAATCTTTTTTTGTGTCAGTTTCAGTTTGATTTTCCTCATATCTTTTTTTTTTTCTAATTTAAATAATAATATGAACTTAATATATATAACAAATTATCTCATTGATACGTCAGGACAACGAGAGAATAGAATTAAATGAAATATTGAGTAGTTTTTAACTAAATAAACTAAGATGAATGACCTTTTTTCTTAATTCAGAAGTCGGTCGCTTTATACATCAAAACGAAAGATATTTGAACAGAGATGATTCCAGTACTTTTGATTTTTGGTCTTTTTTCTGATTCGAAATGTTTGTCCTTTCTTACGGGGAAAACCTATGAAAGCGATCCCTTCTGTTTCCAGTGATTTATATGTCGATCGATAGAGTACATTGTGGTAGTAAAAAGCCTAAAAGGATGGCTCATCTTTCAAAAGTTAGAGCGATTTTTCTATTTTTTTGTAAGGAAAGATGGAAAAATTAAAAAATTCATAACTCTATAAAGAGTTCCAGTTACCGAGCTTTACGTTTTCCATAGATTAGCTCTTTGATAGGCTCACAATATAATGGCTTCCAAAATCGTTAGTTTTCCTATGTAATAATCCTAAATTAGCATCAGAAACGGTCAATGGTATCATTTATGAAAAATTCTTGTCAAAAATATAAACGTTTACTTCTTGAAAGAGAATGATCAAACGCTTATTCGGTGCTTTTCTTTGTTTTTATTCTTTTGTTCTTATAGAAAAACTGTTTTCGATGATAAAAAATAAGTGTTTGCTTATTTGTGAAAACTGGTAACGTTCAGTGAGTTGAAGAGAAAAGTTAAGATATAAGGCTTAATGTAAAATTGAAGTAAACGCAACTTTTCAGTGCATTTAAAAGAAGACACTTGAGGCAATATCTTCATGTATTTTTCTCGAAATCGATATTTTTTTATAAAAAATCGTCATTTCGGAGGAGGATGTTAATTTGAGTCTTGGACATTTTCTCTTTTAAAAAATATTAGTCATATCAAAGTTTAACTAACTTTTTGAAATTATAAGACGTTTCTGGAAGAAAAGACATATTTCTTTAAAAAATGCTTTGATCCTCCGTATTATACATCTAAATTCATTTTACTGTTAGACTTTACCCGATTGCTATTTTTTGAAGAAAAATATTCGAGTTTCAAGTTAAGACGTTCTTTCCTCTAGTAAATTTACTTTGAGTCACAAATAAAAAAAAAAATAAAAATAACAAATAACAAAAAATAACAAAAAGAAAAATTAACAAATGAATTCAAACATTTTACAACATAAATGTTGTTTCGATATTTTAATTTAAATTCGTCATTTATGACAACTTTCTTGCTTTCCTTTTTTTTCATATAAAAGAACTGAATAAAAGTCTAACTATATTAAAAATGCATGTGCAATAGATAAAGTAAAGTATAAACGGTTGTCTAAAGTTAAAAGAATTAAAAATGCTTTAACTTGACCGAAGAAAATTTTGATATGGTATATTTTCAAACGTTTATATGCCATTTAGCTTGGTATTTTCGTAACCATTTTACTCTCAAATAATGTTATAAATTTGTGTAATGGGATATTATTTGATTTAACTATTGAACATAAGTGTACATGAAATTGTTACAAAGTAGATAAAACGCCTATAAGAAAGATGACTCTATCAAAGCAACTTTCGGCTTATCGTCAAGCATTCAAAGATGGTTCATTTGTCGCATGTCCTACAGTCGATTTAACTGGTCTATATGGTCGTATTACTAAAGGGAATGTATTCGAACACTTTCAACAACTGTCGGATGATACATCAAAACGTTTATCATGGGTATTCGATTCAGATACACTTCGTACACTTGTTGGTATGCCATCTATGGATATTTTACATTATATTGGAAATACAGATGAATGGATTCAACAACAATTACGTAAGGGAAAAAAATTTAAATTAATCGTATTTGGTGGAGAAGATGTTGTTAAACTGGCCACATGGGATAATATTGTAGAATTGATGAAACACGCGTATCCGGAGATAAATGACTGTTTATGGGAAAAATATAGAGATGAATTAAGTCAATTATCATTCGAACAAATTAATTCAATGATGGTTAAAGAACAGGATATTGTTCAAAGTTATTATAAAGGTCGAGATTATAAACATTATATAACCGTTGAAAGATTCAATGCTATTCAAAATCCAACGTTAGGTAAGACATCCATCTTTCTCCTTTATTACAGGTTTAAGACATTATATACCTCGTTAGGTCATTTACGAGCATTATTATATCATCATATTGGTTTAAATGAATTATTTACTGGTACTGGTTATACAATGCGACATGAGGGAACAATAACGGGAAAAGAATATTTGGTAACGAATAAACCACTTAAAGAATTAGATGAATATTTGCTATTAGACATTGATTTAACATCATCAGAACACGATGATAAAAGAGATTTATTGAAATAAACCACAATAGACGTATATATTATCATCACAAAGGTCTAATACCAAAGAGATACCAGGTCTAAAGAATAAAAACTGAAAAAGATCAGAATACAACTTTTACTAGTAAAATGATTATCTATGTCTTTTTCAAATACACTATGTGTGTAATTGTCTGTGTTCATGTATTTCACCTATTCTTACAACAAATTCTTATATATTTTCTATCATACTTTCTAAAAACTACATTATATTGTATTATAAGACGTTCTAATTCTTAGATTAATTCGTGAGGATATTCCTGTAATACAATGTACGAATTTTGAATAATCTTTTAACGCAGTTCTAACAAGGACAAATATTTCAAATCAGAAAAAAGTCCAAAAATCAGAAGACCCAGGAGAACGAACAACTGTTAGATTTTGTCCGACACCATTCAGAAAAAAAGACAGAATTGGAATTCCATCTTGGAAAGTAATCTCCTATATTTTATGCGTTTGAACAAGAGCTGAACTCCAAATCGTTCTGGAGCGCGCCGTTCTGATACCTGTTCCGTCATCTAAACTCCTAATGAAAGGACGGTCATTCATTTTCAAAGAAAGACACCCCACTCTAATACATCTTCCGACACCTAAACTAACTAGTGACTACATAACATTTGATGGCAAGATCGGTATAATTTCTTACAAATTTATAAAAAAGATTCTGTGAAGCATCGCGATGAAAAAAAAGTATTTTTTTTATATTTGTTTTTGTGCATTCAATAAGAAATTGACTAAAACATATACTCAGTTTTTTCTACATCTTTTGAAAATCATTTTTTTCTAATGCCGTATTATCCAAGTAGCGGGTTCAACAAATATTCCATTTTGTAGAACAAACATAATGAGGCATAAATCAGCCCTGCCAGATTTGTGGTTGTAGTAGGATGATTTGGGGAAAAAACTAAATGAACGATTTTGACTCCCGTAAAGAATGAGCGTAATCTTTTTTGTATAAATGATGTTCTTTTTATAGATTACCCTATAAAAAATTTCTTATTGGCACTGGTTGCGCATTGGTGCGCACCGATGCCAAAGTCTTTTTTCCAATCACGATTCGGTTTTATCAATGTTTGTGTATATAAACACTACAAGTACCAACAATGTTTCAAATGTCTTTTTAACTTCATCTTTTCTTTCTCATAAAAGAAGTGTCGAGGCCAGTGCTGTACAGTGATGGAATGACAATGTGGTACTGGTATTCCTTAGGGATGCTACAAGCCTTGAGCTATTGAATCAATAATTACATGTTGTCATTACTCAAAACCCCCAAGCTCTACCGAGCTGTTGTGTCAGACGTAATCAGTTTTCTCTCCTGTT